ACTTCAGGTATGCAAAGGACAAATTGGGAAGCCTTCTTCTGTTAGAGAATCTGTTCACCTGGTTACCAATTACTTTTCCCCACCTTTTTAAAACAGGAGTTCTATTTAAGGTGATCCTGGAAGCCTAACACAACAACTGTTAAATGTACAAGCAGCAATTAATTTGGAATACCTATTGGAATCACTGGAACACATTTAGTTGGGCCCTTTAACTCTTCCACACAGCACATTCACATGGACAGACTAAGGAAAAGGAGATGAAATTTAAATCAGCACAATTTTTTGTTTAATGATTTTTTAAAGAATAGTAAGTTGGAAACTTTTGTTCTTGTACTTGACCATGACTCCCCCCATCTCCCTTAACTACAAATAAGATGCAAGACTACCTTGAAAACTTACCCTGTTATAGTTGCTATTCAAATATGCCTAATCACCTTGAAGTATTTTTTTGTCTTCTCTATGTATGCTTTTATACCTTTAAAGCATTTATATCACACTTATAAATCAGATGTCTATACTACCCATCTCTGTTCTCAGTGACCTTTAAATTTTTAAACTTTTTTGGCTGATACCAATTTGTGGCAATGTTTCAAGTTGTTTGCCAAGTATAGAACATTTTACTAGACAAAACTGATTTTCCTTCCTGTAAGATCATGGAACGGAACTTAAAGGAAAAGCAGGAAAGAACATGCCAAAAACAGTTCAGCATTCATTAGTTAGATGCAATGTTAGCTCTCCAGCTTGTGATCCTGCATAACTTCCAGTATTATAGCTACTCAAGCTGGACATGCTCATGAGTAACTACGCCATTGGCACAGCACAGTGACTAACAATGCAACGAAAAGTGAACCGTTCTAGAAGACATCTCTCTAGATTAGACTAGCCTAGACTGTCATTGCCTCATCTTTTTTCAACTACAGTAGTTTTTCTCATACCAACACATTCAGCCTTGTTCAAAAGCAAAACCCGTTCCTTGTCAAGATGCAACTATATGCTGATTCCTGACATGAAAAAGAAATTAAAACATTCCTAAGCAATAATCATAAAATTACAAATAAAACATATGGTTAAATTCCTTGTCTGAATAACTTACCTAACCAAGCAGTGATTACTGATGTCCTGGATCTATCAGTTGCCAACATTTTTTACCCTACCAACACCGGGCTTACAATCACCATTGATCCCACTGCATGTTGTATTTCCTGAATAATCTTAGATTAACGTTATGAATATAATTCTTCCATCTATTTCCAAACTACTATTCCCCTAGAGACTAAATGAAGTTCCTTGGGCAATTAAACTTATTCAATCACCTCTATTTTTAATCAATTGGCTAATAGTATGTTAAAGTACATTCTCAACCTAATTATATAATTTTTTTTTTAAAAATAGCTATTTTTCACGTAAGCTCCTATTTTCCAAGGTCCAGCTGTTCTGCCTGATTTGGAATTGACAAACTAGCAAACACATTTAGGAAAACATAAAAACTACATATTGAAGGTAGGTTGTTAATTTTCAATTTCACAAACATACATAATTTGAACTTTGGAAGATACCTCGGCACTCCTGGATTTTAATCTTTCTCTACCCCAACACATTCAAGGGAAACACATTACTTCAATCAGTACTGCAGCTCACTTCCAAATTCTCAAGGGCTTATTTTAATTATCAAGATTAGTAACAAGGGTTAATAAGACAAAGGTCACTCCAACATGAGTTAGCTGGACCAAGTACTTTTGTCTTACAAACACGTACCTGTAATACTAGTACTAGGTAGGGTGAAAAAACTGGGGAGGACTCAAGAGTAGCCTATGTAACTAAAACCTCAAGTACTAAACTAGCTAGCTCTACCACTTTCATGTTTTAATGCACAAGATGAGAAATCACAGCTATGGTCCCCCAAAAAACCTTTCAAAGCTAAAAATTACAGGGAAAAGACTCCCCAGATACATAGGGTACTGCAGTTTAACTGAACAGTTAAGTTTAGGCAATTAACGATTTGAAGAAACTTGTGGTTTATATGACTAATAAACTCAAATTACTGTTTAGCCATCTCAAGCAGTAATAGATTCTGGCTCAAAGCACTTAATGTTAGCAGTCCCTTAATAGTTCATGCTTAGGTATGAGTCCCAGTGCATAGGTATCGCAACCTAGTGCCAGGCCAGGCGTTAACATAATCTCCTTGCTTTTATTAACTATTACTAAAATGTTAAAACTTAAGCCCAGCTTTTCACAAACTCTGGACACCTCAATCTTAGAGCTCCAGAAATGTGAACAATGAATAACTGTTCAGATTCAAGTAAGAATTTTAGGGGAAAATGGCTTTAGATAGAACGTTGTATTCATCTTTCCAGGGGTATATCTCAATGAATATTCTGGGGATTTGGGTAGTAGATAATTATTCTCGAATCCATCCACTTTTTAAAAATAAGAATTTTACAATTATGTGTAGGAGGAAAATTATAAAAACTTCTCAAAGATATACCCATTTATTATATTCAATACTAGACATTAAGACTTGGGCTCTAAGAGATGTTTATCCCTTCCTCACTAAAGTTTATTCTAGTTTTGGCTTTAAAAAAAAATCAAATCTATTCTTACAGATTTATAACCAGGTCTTTATATCCAAGATGTCTACATTACCACCTGGAAATCTGTATATTATTTTATCACTTTTATTTGTGCAATGGAAGCCATTATAGACATGGTCCTAGGATAAAAAGCCAATTTGTTAATGAGCAAGTTTATAGAAAAACATGTCATTCAATTCCCACAATCTGTCCGTGAGTATAAAACCCCCAGATAAAACACTTATTTTACAGTACTATGTTTCCTAGAACAATTTTGTGCACTTCCTCAAAAAAATTGTTTTTAAGAAGCTCTGGGGCCGGCCCGGTGGCGCACTGCTACAGTGCGCCACTTCGGAGCGCGGTGGCGCTCCCGCCGAGGGTTCGGATCCCACATACAGACCGGTTCCCGCTCACTGGCTGAGCGAGGGGTGGGCACAGCACCGAGGGTTGCGATCCCGTTGCCGGTCCCGGTCTGGTACGGGCGCAACATTGAGGGTTGCGGTCCGTTGCCGGACACGAATAAAGACAAAAAGGAAAAAAAAAAAAAAAAGAAGCTTTAATACCTTGTTGCTAGTGTTCAGGGCATCTAAGTTCATATTCCTTATATTTATTTACACAAGATCTATTCTAGACGAGAGCTTATTTGTTTATAGATTTAATATTGCTTCCTTTTGTCATTGCAATGTCAAATTGACTCGACTCAATCTTCATTTCAGGATTTCATCCTGCTATATGGATATTAAGGCTAAACACTGGTCACTGACTTAAAAGGTCAGAGCCGGAGCTCTTCAAAGGCTGTTTTAGTATGATGTAACCTATCAGCAACAAAGACAACTTCTTATGTGATAATTAATTTTAGTTACTTCATTTCTATCTTCTAGCATTCTAAGTTTTAGTCTTCCAATTAACTGCAATGCTATTTTCATACTATTGTAGCTGAACAATTCAATCCAATTTTTGACTCAGCATGTATTACCTGCAAAACTTCCTAGCAAAAGCATCCCTTAAACCAATAGTTCTCTGGGTATAACCAAGATTTGATCAGAACTGTATTTGCTTTTGTTTGTTCAGACTTTTGCTTGCTATTGGGGACAGGGGCAAGCATGGGGAAGGGTGCGCCTTAAACCAAGTTTCTCATTCACAGATCTTATTCTGCCAGAACTTGGCACTTAACTTAGCTATTTTTCTCCCTTTTGTTGCTATTTGGTGCATTCCCTTTTCTGAATTTAAGTACTAAGGTTATTTTTTCCCTAAACAATACTAATCCTAATCTTAAAATTGCTTCTTAACATGTGTACATTTTTCTGTACATCTTTATCTATCCCATCTTTCCCCTCCTCCCCCAAATTCTATGGGCTATACAGGCAGGATAGTGTTATTTGACCGTTACTCTCTTATTACAATTATGAATATAAATTCCTTAATAATCAATTTTAAATTAGAAGATATATCCAAGATTTTTAAAAGGCACAAATGAAAACTTTACGACACCTAAACCTTGATATGCATGAAAGTGAATTTTCACTCTGGGTAAATCTATGCAATCCTAATAACGTATACTGAAAAGTAGCTCATGCCAGTGGTTGCTAGCAGTAAGTTAATTGCTAAAAAGACAAAAACCCATGAGACACTACCTTGTACTGTTAAGTATTCCTATGGTAATTACAGAATTAGCCTTTGTTCCAAAAATTTCTCAACTAAAGAAGCTACACCATCATCTAAAACTAAACTTTAGCTTGTAACAAGGAAACTCCTAGGAGTATGAATTCAAGTTAAAAATCTGATTTAAAAATGCTAACACAAAATGCTAAGCAATCAGAAATATAGCCAACCTAAACTTACCAGAAGCAACCTAAAAACACCAACAAAATTCTAAACTAAAGTCAAATTTTAGTTCTACAGTTTGACTCCTGATTCCTCACTTCACATCAGTGAGGGTCCTTTAGAAGATTAAGTGTTCCGTGCAAACCCAATAAAATTAAAATTAGGGGATCTAATGTTATCACATAGCTACTTAAGTTAGCAGTGTTGTGCGGTAAGGAAATCAATGACTGGCTTGCATGATGGCTTATAAAAGCAATTGTTCCCAGCATTTCATGTATCTCATATATGTATATAAAAAAATCAGTTGAGGACAGCCATTAAGCATTTTGTAAAGAGAATAAACTGAGTGTTAACTTCTCCCAGCAAGTACCTTTTCCCCTCATTAAATATGTTATAAGTCATCTGGGGGGGGGAGGGGAAGGGAAGAATTCAACTTTACTTCATTATTACAAATCGTCAGTATACATTTAAGTTTTTAAAACCTAAATGTTCCAAGTACAGTGTAAACAATAAAAGCTGTCCAGAAAGCACACACTTAAAACTTCTCCTCTTGGGAGCTGTATTAAGGGATTTTGAACCTTGATGGCGAGAATCCCAAAACAAGAGTAAAATGAATTCTTTTTATTGCAAACAAACGTCTAAATTAATTTCTCCACCCACTTTCTTTAGAAAGGAAAAGAAATCAGCAGGCTAAGGAGATACCCATTCAAGAACTGACATGATTAAAAATTAAGATATAAATGGGTGACTCACAATTTTCATTAGCTTACAAAGATGGTGGAGTTAACTACTACAAGCACACTAGTTATACAGTATTTTGTGGGAGAAGGGCATACAGACATAGCTAACTTCATATAGATCCCATTAGACAACTGGATTTACAACAAGTTTTTTTTTAATAAGAAATGGGCAAAGCCAGCTTTCTTTTCAGAATCAAAATGCAGAACAAATGGAAAAATTATGGTATTTAACCTTCACAAGTTTGAGCCTCCACAAATAATGCAACCAAGTTTTACATTTTTAACAGCCCTTCTACATACACTCCATCTTCTCTATCTTGGTTCCAACTTTTATCTTCATTCCCAATAATGCCAATTCCACTGGTATTTAAAAAGGCCTTCCCAAGTTGTTGCCAAAACTACTATTTAGTTTACCCCCTCCACTACCCAGCAAACTACAGAGAGGATGGAGTGTAATACGAGCAGTACAGAGTCTTATGTAATTCATGAGGACTACTTAGTCCCTCCATGAATCTGGTTGCTAACATTTCTATTATATTGTGACAATGACTCCCGACTGTTATTCTCTGCGAGAAATGGGGGGAGTAAATTCTTAATAAAAGACACCAGGTACAAAGCAACATTTTACTTTTGTTGTGATAAAAAAAAAAGTCACATTTTACAGATAAAATGTAGAACCCTGAAATACTGACACATTCTCTTAATCGTGCACAATGCTGAGGTTCTCTTACGAGTCACTTTAAAACTGCAATTAAAAATGTACAAAAAAGAAAAGAAAAAAGAAAATCAACCCACAAAGCTTCTAAAAAAGGAACCCGCAGGCACTTCCTCTTGTGGAATGTTTAAAAAGTTAGCCTACTAAAGAAAACAGTCGACTTCTTGTGAAGGTTTTGGAGAAATATGTATCAGTTCGTTTTATTTGGGCATTCAATAATATCCTTGGTGATAATGCTGACTCCATGGCTTCTGACCCCAGAATTGCTGTAAGAGAAAATTTTTTTTTTAAAGAAAAAACATCAATAAGCCACTCAAACTGCTTTTAGGAAATGACAATGAATATAATTCAGAGTAATAGCTGGAAACAAATTTATAACTTGTCATACCTCTGACTTCTATCAAACCAGATTTAGTTTTAATATCAATGACCATTATTATCAATACATATTACAAAAGGAAACACATAACTTGGTTAGTTTACACAATTAAAGCTAACAGTGAAAACCATATGTATCAAATAGTATTTACTAAAAAAAAAGTTACAGCAAACTCCAACCTATTTTGCCTTCAAAAGGTAAAATTATGACTACAACTGCAACACAATTCACACTTTGCCCCATAACATTACAAACACTTCAATCCCTGAACAAGAGCATCTTCACGACTGATTCTTACGAAATCAAAATACAATTAACGTCCGTAAGCACATAAGAAATTACTTACACCCTGCTGCCACTGGTTGTAGCCCTGAGATTGATTTTTGTAGCCACGATTGTTTCCTCGTCCTCTGAAGTTCTATCATAAAAAGGAAAAACTCTTTAAGAGCTGAGCCTAATAGCTTGTTAGGTTTGTGGGGCTGGGAGGGGAGCAGAAATGGACAGGTTGCTAGCCACTGATCTTAGGGGAATGCAGGAAATTTGGGTACCCTCTGCTGGTTTCTCAGGGGCCGTCATTTATGAGAAATCCACCTGACTTTCTGCTAGTTGTATACCTGAAAACTCAAAAATTAAAGAAGTGGATTCATTTTACCATATGGCTAGTTTAATTTTTCTTATACCAATGCATACACACCATGTTCCCTACAATTATTACTAAGGCCCCAACAACATAAGCCTACAACTTTCCACACTAATTTACAGATATCAGCGCATCCAGGCATCCTAAATCATTACCTGGTTGTAGTTCCCTCTGTTGGGCATTCCACCTCTGTTGTAGTTCCCTCCTCTGTTTGAATAACCACCTCGGCTGGGAAATACTGGGCCACGAGGGTATGGATAGCCAATGCCACCACTGCCACCACCACCACCACCTCTCTGTGGCATATTGCCCCTCCTATTATATCCACCACGATTCCCAGGAGCTAAAAAGAAGAGATGTTTAGTTTCACATGTGTTGGACCTACTTATACAACAGATTTAGGCTTCTTCTGGACCATTCCTTTATGTTCTGGAGAAAAATAATTACATGTTTAAAGACTACAGTAATAAAAAAAAAAAAAAAGGATAAAGACTACAGTAATGTTTCACTTTTAACCACCCACAGAACATTAGGTGCATTTAAAACTACATCACAAGATTTTAAACTAGTTCCTAGGACAGCACAGGGTCGAAATAAGAAACAAACTTCCTGTTTTAAATTTAGCTAAATAATCTACAAACCAAATTACAAGATTATCACTTGTTTCAATCTTGGAACTAAATAAACAGAACACTCAAAATTAACTTGCCTCCCCCTCTGAAATTTCCACCACGCATATTGAATCCTCCACGTCCTCTATGGCCACCACCTCTGTTAAACTGGTTCTTGCCACTCTTATTTTTATTGCTCTTCTTTGAGCCAGTGTTCTGTTTCTTTTCGGGTGGAAGAGCCTTTTTGCTTTCTTCCTTATATTGCTCCAAAAGTTTTTGGGCTTCCTCCTTCTGAAGCTCAACATAAGTTATTTCGTCAAAGCATTCAGCTACCTCTGGTAGGGTAAAGTTTCCTGCAGGAAACAAAGTCAGTTAATTATTAACTTAGAAACCCACTACAAATATCTACAATTCTACTTACTCCTGGCTTAGTAACATTACTTCCCTAAAAATAAACCAAAACAAGCCAAACACAAATTCATATTTACCAAGAGTTAATGTAATTTCTGGGAATAGTACTGCTGGCAAAATGTTAATTTTTCAGATATAAATCATATAACGTAAAAAGGTTCAACACACTAACAGCAGAATTAAATTCCCTACCTTTCATTTTGAGGACTGCATGTTCTGGTAGGTCTTTCCCCTCTACTTCTGCTTTCTTCTGTGTTCTTTGCTTATAGTCTTCATCTTTTGGGCAAACTACAACGGCTTTTCGTTGGAAGCCTGCAAACAGGCACATTTTTCTCCTCTGGGCAGCAGCAGACACATTTGTCTTTCAAAAAAAAAAAAATTAGGTTTACAACCTTAAACATGTATTCTACACCAAACCCAATTACCAGTTAACATTTTTTCAACTTCAAAGCCACAGCTTACCTGATCCAGAATGAAATTTCGCTTCTTGCGGGCAGCAATCTCAATAAACTTTCCAAGACATTGGGGGGCTCTCTGCAACAGTGTGTTCAGTTTTCCAGTATCTGCCATTTGCTTCTTAAAACCTGCCACCTATTTTTAAAAGTTGAAATCTTCCTTTAAACTTGTGAATATCAAATTAAGCTTACAATACCAACTTAGATATTTCTGTAAAGCAGGCAATATTTTATAACTTAGATACTGCCTACTTACCATTATCACTACAAAAAAGGGTCACTTTATGTGACAGTATCCTATACTATCCAATTCTTTTCAGCTGCTGGATTTAAAAATTCAAAGAAATCTATGGAAAAGGCAATTAAGCCTAGCCACTAGAAGGCTGCTTACCTTACAAAGAGCTTACTTGAGTAACCAATTTAATTTTGCCCAAACACCTATCTCTAAGATATTAACAAAATGGATAAAGACAATGAACAAAAGGGTTACCCAGAACACCTTCTGGTCTATTTTAAATGCTGAGATAAAGTCCTAAGCATTTTACTTACCATCATTTTATCCATAATGGTATTTGTTCCAAGAATGTTGTATTTACCAGGATTTTCTGCTGCATGTTTAGTAACCCAGGTAGTTTTTCCAGCTCCTGGCAAGCCAATCATCATCACAACCTACAATGGGAAAAGATGTTATTTTACTGTCTAATCATGAGAGGCCATCTAATAATTCTTTAGCTTTTTATTTTTCAAGTCTAACAATAAACCAATTTAATGCTGGCAGTTAGCTCGGTTGGTTAAAGCGTGCTGTTAATAACACCAAGATCAAGGGTTCAGATCCCTATACCAGCCAACCCCACACATACCCAAAGAAACCAATTTAACTATCTGACTTTTCACATCCCTTATACTAAGGTAATTTGTGGAAAGCTTAACACTCCACATAAAAAGGAAAGATAACTTAGAGAAAAATTATTGGTTGAAAGCACTATGCACAGCAGAAAGTAAATGGAACAGACTAACCATCCAACTCTTCTACATGTCGTTTTTACCAAGAAGAGCAATCTCTAAATGCCTCCATACAAAAAAAAAAAAATTTTTTTTTTTAAATTTAAAAAAAAATTCACTTACTTCACAATCTTTCTTCTCTTCAGGCCCCTTTGGTCCTCTAACTCTATCCTCTAAGGGGACATTCTGGATAAAAGTATAGTCTTCAGGTATTGGAAAATATGGCTTTTCCTTCTGACCAAAATTAAATTCAACTGCACAATTGTGGCAGAGAACATGCGGGAAGAGTGGTCGTCCAGCAAGAACTTCCTTGCTAATTTTGAAGGCAATGCCGAGATCCTGTCCATTCTTAGCATAGGAGAGTTCCACTTCATCACTTTCAAAGTTCTGTTGAACAGGAAAAAAAATTAACAGTTTTAATCTGCTTCCTATAAGCTTTCTAAAAAACTTCAAATTTCAAATTAGGATGAATAAAGCTTATCCTGTGGAAACATACTTAGGTTAAACGTTAAGAACTCTGATGGTTACTTACAACAATACGACACATATACCCAGAAATAGAAAGAAAGAATATTGCCCTAGAAGATGGACTGGATTTTAGGTCAACTTCATGTTTGTTTTCAATCAAAATGAGTTAGTGATTTCTTCCTCAAAAAATTTCCTATTCTCCCACTTCAACTACTAAATGAAGTTTAATCCGGGCTAGTGCATATACATTGAAGGCTGACTGACACCGATAATAGCTTCTAAAAATTCCTCAATGCAGCTAATAACTTGCCATTTATACACAGAAAATTTAGTTATGACTTACAGCAAAACATGTAATCACATCATTTTCATCAAACTTTTCTCCATAATCTTCAGTTTCACAGTTGCATGTTTTTATTCCTTTTAGAGAATACCCGTAGGAAAATTCTTCCTCACCTAAAAAAACAATTAACTTCCATGGAGTTGACTGTTTAAGGCGTCCCAAGATCTGTTTTTGGTTGTCCCCCCCCCCCCCCCCCCCCCCCCCCCCCCCCCCCCCCCCCCCCCCCCCCCCCCCCCCCCCCCCCCCCCCCCCCCCCCCCCCCCCCCCCCCCCCCCCGACTGTTTAAGGCGTCCCAAGATCTGTTTTTGGTTGTCCCACCCCCCCCGCCCCACCTCACTATTTAAGATGTAAGGTACAAGAGAAATGATGAATACATAACCTAATAATCTTTCACTGACATACTGACCCTATCTACCTCTGTACCAGATACAGAAATGTTGAGTGCTAGAAAGCATACAGACATAGAAATAAAACTACCAGACAAATTGCACGCCATGGATAAGATTCTATTTAAACCAATGGTCCTAAACTGAAGCAACCATGAGGGAACAAAAACTAAAATTTAAGTCTTGTGCCTACTGCATGCTAACATTACTCATCTCTAAAATATGAACAGAATGGATAAAAACAGGCAAAAAGGTTTAGAATGCCTTCTATCTGGAGTCTAGTTAAAACACTGAAATCAGACCCTAAACATTTATGAGCCCACAGTACTAAAATGGAACTTTACCAAGCAACATTCCACTTGTGGTTAGTGACCAGCCAATCCGAACTTCATGTATGTCAATATCTTTTGTATATAAATGCCTTACTGGGATCTTCTCTGTAACCTGAAAGTCAAATCATTAAATGATTTAATTCTAATCCAAGGAAGGTAAACCCTTGAACTCTGGCTTATTATGTGGGCCTTGGGCTTTTCTCTAGCTACCAGTACAAAGAGAAGACACCAACTCTACCCCACCTTTTCCCACTGCAACATTTACAAAAACTTTAATGTAACTTACAACTTGAAATTCAAAGATTTGAGTTAAATACTTGCTTGATTCACATTTTTAAACTACATTTCCATTCTCAATTTTCAACTTAAAGCAAACTAAAAAGTAGACCTTTAACATGTCTTTCTCTCCAACAAAACCAGGAATCTAACCAAGTTTTATTTTTAACTCTTCAGCAGTCAGTTCAAGTGCCTGATAAAGAGGAGTATTCTAAATAAAAATGGGCTGGCTCTACATGGCAAGTGCTGATATAACAGACTTGTGTAACTGTCACAAAAAATGTTCCAAACTCCTCTAATTCACAGAAAACTTCAGTTAAAAGTCCTTTTGACACTTAATATTGTTAGGCAAACGAAAATTCAAAAACATTTTACATTTACCTTCATCTCAAAACAAACTTTGCCTTTTGACACACCGTAAGATGCCCTTCCTCCAGCCCAAAGAAAAGCAAAACTCTCCATGGTAAGGGAAGAAGCACTGAGGCGATCTCTTGATATTTTAAAATGTAGATCACAATTATCTGTAATTATATTAAATACCATATTATTCTTTTGACATCCAATATAAATGTGTCTGCTATATAGACAAAACTTGGTGATTAAAACTTGGCATGTATTTCTTAAGCTGTATAAGACATTGTTTTTACATATCATGCTGCTGTTCCAATTTTCAACTTGAAGCCCCACTCCCACCAAGTCACTCTTATCAGATTTATGTACTAAAGAGTAAACTACCTACAAAACTGCCACCAAGGTTTAAGGTTTATTTTAAGTATATAAAATAATTGAGACAATGTGACATTGATACATACCTGCTCTGCTCTTTACCTTGATTTAGAGGCAAGCAGTAGAGGATAGCAGGAAATCAAAGTGAAGCATGCCAGAACCAGGTAGAATTTACCAGTGCCACAATAAAACTGAAGGGAGGCCACGACCAAATATTTTAAAATAAAAGTATGAGCTGTTGATCCTGTACTTTGTAACTTAACACACCAGTGCTCTAGGTCCTAAATCCTTTTCTAAAGTCGCTAAAAGCTGCCTCAATCTACAAAATAGCAAACCTGGTCATCTAACACTGTCAATATTCCAGCATTTTAGCCCCTTTCCCCAGGCTTGCCTGTTTGTAGCAATTAGGGATTAACCACCTCCAGGATTATCCAAATCCCAAGTGTCTTTAAATCTGGCTTCCTTAGGTCACTTGCTCATTAGCATGTCCCTTCTCACAGGGCTCACTTGAGACTTTATGTTCTTTAGTTTTCACTGATGAGAGAAAATTAACTAGTTTGAGATTTCCCTTGAATTTGCTTTGCTCCTAAAATTCCCTATCATGAATAAAATTTTGAATTTAACAAATTGTGTTTGAACACAATACTGCACTTAAATATTCCTAGCTGATCCGCTAAAAACCCGTCTACTCACAGTGGGGTTACCTTCTTGCATCACTGCTTCAGTACTCAATCCTACCAACTTACATTCAAGCAACTAAATTTGACATAAAATTCCAACTACTTTTTCACCTGAAGTTTTCTTTCAAGACTCAACTGAGTATCTCAACTACCTACCTGTAATGGGTATTAAATTAAAAAATCAAGGAGTTTTACATTTACACTTACAGATCTGAATAAAAACAACTTGTACAAAAAACGTGAGCATCTAAGCTTTAACTCCTTACACTTAACACGGCAGAAACACCTTCCCGTTTATTTTTCAAGCACTTATTTCTACCCTTTGTTCTATCATCACACTGAAAGAGTGGTGCGTTCTGATCAACTACTAAACCCACAAAATCTTGTTATAATTAAAAAAATAACCAGTCTGACAGCCAAGGCCCATTTAGAGGTTTGCAATACTTCTTCATAGTCAATTGCAACCCAACTGGGTAAAGTAGCAGTATTTAAAGTGCTGCCATTGATACCATTCGCTGCTGAAGAAAGCTAGTGGCCCAGTGATAGCCCACTGCTGCTGCCCCAGGTCTTTGGAAGAAATCAACTTATTTGTTAAAGCAGCAGCTACTGAACTGGAATTGAGAACAAAAGAGCAGTTATTGAAAAAGTAATATTACAGTTTTTTATAATAGGGAATATACTTGTGTGCTAATGGGAAAAGTCATTAATAAGTATTTAACTAGCCCAAATAGCTCACTTAATATAATTCCACAAAAAAGATGACTACTGTATAGTACAAACCTATAAGTACAGGTAGTTTTACAAGTTTCCGTTAGCTAACAAAAGATTGGCATTAGTTTTACATTCTTAAAAATGAGAACTTTCAAGTCATAAAAATATTACCAAACTGCTAGAGACTAAAAGTTATCAACTCAACTGATATGATACTAAATATTAAACTACTGGGATTTCAATATAAGCCATTATCTTCCTACTTTTTTCTAAATTTCCTGCACTAAGTTCAACGTACTGCACTAAGTTTTCTAACATTCTGGAACCCAAAAAAAACCACCGCATTTCACCACTGCGGAAGGGAGGGAAACAAACAGCTTCACTTACAAGTATCAAGACAAACCACTGTGTCATCGAAGTGCTCATCTTCCTCTTCAACAGGTGGCTGGGGAGACTTGGCTCTGAAAGACAGAATTGTCTCCTGATACAGCTTTCCCCATCAACGAAGGGAGAAGGGGTGACAAGCAAAGCTGGATGAGCATCCTCTACCTGCTATACTTGTTCTCTTCGATGTACTCAAAATATCCACGGCCATGATCTTCCCGAGGTCTCTTAACCCCTCTCTTTTTATCTCCGCCTTTCTGTTCTGTTTTGCCGTCCCCTATAACACAACACCCTCATAAGAGGCCAAGCCGAAGACAAAAACAACCCTTTTGCACTTGGAGGCGCGAAGCAGCTCGACTTCACCCTTTTCACGAATTCGTAACCGACAGACCAAACGTGAACTCAAACCACCACCAGCCTGGAAACGGACTGGAGTCAGTGACGCAGTCCAAAGACATCACTACCTTTGCCAGTCTACTAGGTGATTCGAGAAAGCGAAAGCGCAAACTGCGCGCCCGGGCCCGGAGCCCACGTGTGCGCCGACGAGAGCCCGGGGGGAGGGGAGGGG